TCTCTCTCTCTTTTTTTTTTAAATCCCCCTTTTGGCATATAATCTAATATTATATGCAAAATCCCCAAGTTTAAATAAGAAAAAAGAAAAGAACAAAATCCCACTTAAACCCCATCATCCCTTCCACTTCTGTTGGTCGACTGCTAAAAGAACAACCCGCACCTCTTTTAATCAAGTACTAGTGCGATCCTTCCTTCCTTCCTTCTTTAGCCTTTACTTTTGGGTTGGGACTTGGGAAGTAAAGAGCTGAAAAAAAAAAATTCCCAATTGCAGCAAAACAGAAAATAGGAATCAAAATGCACGCAAAAACAGACTCAGAGGTTACAAGCTTAGCACCATCTTCGCCAGACCACGCAAGGCGTCCGGTTTACTACGTCCAGAGCCCATCTCGTGACTCTCACGATGGCGAGAAGACCACGACGTCGTTTCACTCGACTCCCATTCTTAGTCCGGCTGGCTCGCCACCTCACTCTCACTCCTCCGTCGGCCGTCACTCTAGGGAGTCGTCTACCAGCCGCTTCTCCGGCTCCCTCAAGCCTGGATCCAGGAAGATCAACCCAAACGACGGCGGATCGGGTGGGAATAGACACCCTGGCCATAAGGGCCAAAAACCATGGAAAGAGTGTGACGTGATTGAGGAGGAAGGATTGCTTGAAGACCAAGAGTCACGAAAGCCCCTTCCCAGGCGGTGCTATTTTCTCGCCTTCGTTGTGGGTTTTTTCCTGCTTTTTTCTCTCTTTTCACTCATCTTGTGGGGTGCTAGTAGACCTCAGAAGCCCAAGATCACCATGAAGGTTAGTTCAGTTTCGTTTCATTCGCTTTCCTTATTTGAAATTCCAAATTTTGAACTGATCATCAATTTTAGCTGAAATTTTGCTACAAGGGATTGAGTTGGCAAAAGTGTTTTCTTTCGCTTTGCTTAACCACACTTTATTCGTCAGTGTACGCATAGAAAAATGTACGAAAGTACTGGTTGATAATTGAATTACGGCTAAATTTGGTCTCAATTTGCAATTTGGTGTGAATTATTATGTGGGTTCTTGTTGAATTGCCATATGAATACGCAATTCTTGCATAATTTCGTGTGGATTTGCCTATATGTGTGTGTTTTTCTTTTAAAAAAAAAATGTCTTCTGAATTAGCGTGGATTTACCTAAATTGTGTTCTCTGTTGTCTGCACAGAGCCTTACATTTGAGAGATTTGCGATTCAAGCTGGTTCGGATGGTACGGGAGTATCTACTGATATGATCTCCATCAACTCTACCTTAAAATTCAATTTCCGAAATACTGCTACATTTTTTGGTGTGCATGCTACCTCAACCCCTGTTGATTTATCATACTTTGACCTCACCGTTGGATCCGGAACAGTAAGTCACGCCAAAAAAAAAAAAATTATTTTTGTTTATTAGGAAAGAACTCCCAATCTTTAATTTATAGTTACTACTAGAATAGAGAGCTTGTCACATTCTTGTTGATTTTGCGAAATTGGATTTTGTTGCAGATGAAGAATTTTTATCAATCGAGAAAGAGTCAGAGAACTGTAACTGTATCAGTGATCGGGAACAAGATTCCTTTGTATGGAAGTGGAGCTAGTTTGAGCACCACCCCAACAGGGACCACCAGCCAGCCAGTGCCACTGAAGTTGAACTTTGTGGTGCGATCAAGAGCTTACGTTTTGGGCAAATTGGTGAAGCCAAAGTTCTATAAGAAAATCGAATGCTCGATCGTCTTTGATCCCAAGAAACTTAATGCCCCCATCCCATTAAAGAACGATTGCACATACAATTGATGATTATGACTTTATGATGTGGAATGGATGCTTGGTTCTTTCTTTTCTTTTTCTTTTCGGTTTCTTGTCATTGAAGAGAATGGTGATTGAGGAATGAGGAATTGAGAAGACAGGGACAGCTAAGCCTACTGGCATGGGTTCCTTGGCACCGGTTTTATGACTTTCTGGGGTTTTTTTGCCATTGTACCTACCCGTGGAGCGTGAAACTGTGAATCGTGAAATACAGGCTGGATTTTGGCCGTGAACCGCGTGAAATCATTGATCACTGTCTCGAGTTCCGCCGCCTAAAAATGGGAACACAATTTGTCAGTTCTATTAATTATTTTCACAGGGAATGTTAGTGCTATGAATTAAAATGAACAATACTTGTAAGAATCATTTGGTTACTTGGAATATTACTGTATTGATAAAATAAGAATCATTAAGTTATCTGGAGTATTATATTCATAAAATAAGAACCATTAAGTTATTTTTGCAGCTTAAGCGTGTGCTAATAATTGAGTTTTGCTGGACTGGACTGTGATGATTGTGTCAGAAGACTTGATTACAGATTTGGTAGTGTTTGCGTGCGAAAGTTAAATTCGAAGTCTTTACCCGACCCTCCACTCTACCGTGGCAGCAATTTATAAGGGGTTTTCATGAAGTGTTTTGACTTTGAGAAGCCGAATGCCCTCCTTATCCATTAGGCTATTATTAGGAAGAGTTTTTCTCTCTGAAGTGGTAGTTCGAATGCAAATATTTGGTATTTTCGTTCAGCATTTTTTACAAGTACTTCTTAGGAATTGAAGCCATGGCTCAAAGTCGTGGTCACGATCACGATCCGGACCGTTTCACATCGATTTCAACATATCGACCGTGATTTTGACGAAATGTAAATTTTGAAATATTTAATATTTTAAAAATTGTGAATAATATAAAAAATATGCTAAACAAAAATAATAAAAAAATTAACAAAAAAATCGGTAAAATGTACTTTTTTGGTTGGATTCGAGTTGATTCAGAACGACTCGTTGTCATTCGGCCATTTTTATCCTTACCGGAGACTTCTCAATCGAATTTTCGGTGACTCGACCTAATTTTCGACGATTCATATATCTAAGAGTAATTCGTCTTTGTATGAAAACGGAGAGCTCCATTCCAGTGAGGAGTCGCACTCGACCGATTCTTTGAACCATGATTGAAGCCATCAAAGCATTGTCTGTCTTCGAAAGATTTGAATATAATGGAACCTACAGTCACTGCAAAAATCCTACTAGTATGTTTAAGGAAGTATTGCACATTGTTAAATTGTTTTAATAGGAAAAATAAGTGCAGATTGTGAATCAGCTGTAAAAAAATTTATAAGGATGCAAGATAGCGTGGTACATGGTGACGATGTAGTACATAATAGCTGCAGAATTTGTTACTACTCTACGGAACAAACTTTTTTTTTTCTTTCTGTTTTTTTCTTTAGCGTAAATGTAGGTTTCCAATCCGAAACTTGTTATGTATATTCCCTCCTCTTCCGTCATCCAATCCATTACTCTCCAAACTTATTGATTGCTAAATTCTACACCCCACTGACAAGTTCTCGGTAGATGGTAGAACAGCTAGATCATCATATTCATCATGTATGGCTCATGAGAATTGGCCTGATTGACTGGCTTCTTTATTTTATTTTATCCAATGTTTAGTCAATTTCTGTATTTTGGAATATAAGTAGAGGTGGCAATTTGTCTCAAGTCCCAATGGGTTACCCATGCCCATGGGGACTTTGGGCGGGATGGGTACTGAAATTTGATATTGGGTTTAAAATGAGACAAATCCCAATTGTACCTATTAATTGATGGGAAATACTTGGGTACCCATTGGACTCAAATAGCAAGGGCTCCGTTTGGATTAGTTATTTTTGTGGGGTGTTTTTGAAATATTTTATTGTAGTAGTGTATATGAAAAATTTTTACTATAAATTTTTTTTTTGAAATATTTGATATACTAATATGGATGGGATATTTTTTGAGTTATTGTATATTACTGTAATATTGTATTTGAAAAACTTATTTTTTGAAAAAATAGCCAATCCAAACGGAGTCTTAGATTCAAAAATTATCTTTAACAATTTTTATAGTCATACCAACGAATATAATCTAGTAGTATTCCTAGTCATTATCCATAAGAATTTCCAACATTTCAGTCAATTTAGACCTGTCATCCTTGGACAATGATGAGGATAAATATTCAACACCATAAGTACCTTGACCATCTTGATATATGTTGGAATATGGTTGTATATCTATTTTTTCCTTTATTTGTTAATCCAATTTTTGGTTGGAATCCTGAGTATAAAACACTTGCATGTTTATTTAATAAAACTAAAAGAAATTTAATAAATCAAAAATATTAAATTTATATAAAAAATAAAAAATGAATTAAAGGAAAAAAAATATGTAGAAAATAGATTTGGGCATTGGGCGGGATCAATCTAAACCCATCCCAAAGTGATCCCGCCCAAATTAGTCCTAAAACACATATGGGTAAGGTTGGGCCCAAACCCATATGACTCGGTTCCATCTCAAACCCAATCAAATCCCGCCCATCCCGCCCATTTTGCCACCTCTAAATATAAGTGCATTTTAAATTGTGGCCATGCACGTGACAAAGAATTGAAGAACCTCATGATGTAACTGAAAGGAATGAGGATTAGAGCAAAATGTCAAATTTGTTGCTAGAATGTGTATGATTAATCTCATCAGGCATGAGAACAAAATTCATAGACATCTGTTTCTAGGATAATTTATCATTTACTCAGACGTAGAGAAATCCATGATAATCAAATTACTTTGATAATTAATAAAGCATTTCACCGCTCATTGCATGATTAATCTCACCTAATATAGAGCATAGGGTCCGTGAAAGAGAAGATGACAAGATTTATACCAAAGTAACCAATTTTTGACAAATTTCCAAACCTGATATCCATCCGGGGACTGACCCCATGAACTTAAGGCTTCATCTTCAGGTAATTAGAGAAACTGCAAGGCTAAAAATATTCCAGACAGACTTTAACTTATATTCGACAAACAAGAATTAAACAAGAAATATTCAATGATGCATACTAATAGCATATTGTACCTGGTCTTTATTTTGCATATCCAGCTTTCTTTCCCATGACAAGGAAGTTTGTTGATGAAGTAGATAAAGTATAACAAAATTGAATACATTAAAAAAAAAAAAAAAAAAAAAGCGATGCTGAATCTGAGTGAATTTCAGTAAATTCATCTCCTGCAACGGGTGATAGCGGAACATCCTCTGGAATAGGGGTTGACTGGGCGACGTGTTCTGTAACAGTGGTGGGTATAGTAAGACCTTCCAGAGCGAGGCGGGCAGGGGATTCTGTTGGCAGCTAATGCCCCATAAGAAATGTAATAACGCCTTGGCCTGCTTGATCTGTAGTAGTAGTAGAGTAGTGTCCTCCCATGATCACCAACCTCACCGCCACCATCTTCTTCTTCTTCTTCTTCATCTTCATCTTCAAGACCATCTTCGCCGGGGTCGAAGAATGTGCTGTTGTTCAAAGGCCAGCCAATAGTTTCAGTTGCAGACATGTGCTGAAGGCTGCTGTGATCATTTTGGGCACTCACATTTGGATTGATAGTTTGGAAGAAAATGAGTAGCAAAAAGAGGGAGCTCAGAACTAGTGCAGGTTTGGGACGTGCCATGGTAAACTGGGCTTGATTTTGGTAGGGCTATTCCAAGTAGAAGTGCAGCAATTGAGGGGTTCTTGAATGTAACAGTTGAGATTGAGAATACAATAATTTCTATGGCAGATTCTGGTGGTGAGTTTGAAAGAAGTATGGAAAGAGGCGTGGAGGGGAGGGGAGGAGAGGTGGTCACATGGAGTATATGAAATCCAAGCGCCGACTGCTAAATTGGTAATTGAGGCGCTTGCTTGCTCGTCTGTCTGCAACTCTGCATGGCACGTTCTAATGTTGTTCCTTGATTGACGCCCCGTATTCCTTTTATTTATTACTAATATATTTTGTCCCGGTTTGTTTGACTAGGGGTCCATTTGATAAGATTGAAGTTTAAAATATGAAATTTAAGTAAAGAAAGTATTAAGTTGCTAAATTGATTAAGTTATATTTGTTTGATAATTAACTAAATTATAATACTAAATTGAAATATCGCAAAAATATTATACTTCTATTTTTTTTTTATATAAAAAAAGTAGTATTTAGAGAGAAAGAAAAGATTGTGTGTATGTATGATAGACAAATAATGAAACAATTCAAAAACATTACAATTTAATTCTTGTTTGAGTTTTTCTCAAATAGCAAATTGAGTTTAACTAACTCTTCATAAATCTCAAGAATATTTATGTCGGAAAAGAGGAAATACATGTTTGGCATCAATTACTTACTTGTTTGGCGTCAATTACTTGAGCTTGACAGTAACATGAATCCGAAGTGATTAATTAATAGAGCAAAGCAAATTGAAATCAGAAATTCTATGACGACGTTCAATTCTCGTTGGCTAATCCTAATCCCAAACCAAATGGACCAATTGGGCAAATATAATTATTTGTCTTTACTTGGTTGATCATTCTATGAATTGATTTTTTTTGTTGATCTGATCTAGGGATGTACGCGAGTCGAGCTACTCGCAAATAGCTCGGTCAATGGCTTCGAGCCGAGTCTCGAACTACTCGATTGTTATTCGAGTCGAGTTTTGAGCCAATATTTTGAGGCTCGTGGCTTGTCGATCTACTCGTCGAGTCGGGCTGTATTTAAATAATATATATTATAATTATAAAATGACCGTTATGGGTATAATTTATATTGAATTTACAATATACTCTTCTTTATAATAAAATTCTATAAGGCAGAAGTGTACATTTTTCGAGTCGAGTCAAGAAGCTTGATTAGACTCGACTTGATAAGGTTTGCCTAAAGGTCGAGCCTTATCGAGTCGAGTCTCAAGTTTAAAGGGAGTTCCTCGAGTCAAGTCTTGAGTATCGATTTTTTGGGCTCGATCGAGCTCGAGCCTAGGTACATATGAGTCGAGCTCGACTTGCCTCGATTACATCCCTAATCTGATCTGATAAACACCTAAGTAATGTACAAGACTGCAAACACAACATGGCATGCAATATCCATTAACATCCGTGAGGCAATGGAATGATCCTTGCTTCTTCGAGTAAACCTCATAAGATTACATTCCTGTTAATATTTAATTTGTGATTTTACAAACAATTTGCTAAAGGATCGCCTTATAATCCCAACCAAAACTGCTATAACCAAGATAGCAAATTCGAGTTGATGACAAAATATGAGAATATATAGAACTAAAGCCAAATGTATGCGAATTCTGTTTACTCAAAAAAAAAAAGACAAAGAAAGAGATCTTCGACATATGCAATCTAACAAATTTTCTCATTCAAAGATTAGACAGACATGTAGTATGAACAACTAATTGGTATTGCTTAGATTCGGCTTACTGGCTGAACCACTGGATTTTCTGGTATATCTTGACATATATTCTGGAAATCCCCTCAAACATCCACAAAAGTTATTGCGGCAAGGGTGGAACTTAAAAAGTGAAAAAGGGATGTGAAGATTTAAATCCAAAATTTCTAATTTTAGAATCTCGACTTTAATTATTAGATCAACATCTTCAACATCTTCTCGCTAGTGAAGCTGATATTTCACAAATGGTATTTCATCTCAATCTCTGCTTCCTTATTAAATTACACGTCTTTGATTAACCATTCAATGCTAGATAGAAAGCAACTCTCTCAATTAATTCTATACCTTGAGGTAGGTAGTAGGTACTCGACCTCTTTCTTATTTTACTATTTGGGTTTTGGGTCAAAACGTCTGACTCTTTCTACCGTTTGATAGATTTATAAGGACTAGATACAGTGTGGTGATCTTTGCCATACAATGTAATCCTTTAATTCGTAAGGGAAAAAAACTGCAAAAAGGTGACAAACAAGAAACAAAAATTCTAATCAATTCATCAAGAGCAAGTTGGCCACCGAAAGGGATATAGATGGTCATAAAAAAAATACGTAGATTCCTTCTTTAAGTTTTGGATTATGAGTTCAAATTAAAGCCAAAAAAGTGTGTGTTAGTGCCATCAAGCATGGCGGAACCAAGACCTAGAGTTAGGGTCCGTTTGATAACATTAAAAAGTGTTGAAACTGAACTTTTTCAGACATTCAGATATTTTGAATGTTTGATAAATAAAAATCCATCTACTAAACTTGTTAAGCAATGCTAAAGTTGTGTGTATTTTTTTTAGTACAAGAATCCTAACTGAATGCTTAATTCTGATAAGAATTAATAGAATTACTTCAACTACCTTATCTTATCTACCAAATATACCCTTATTTGTTAATTATGTTCAAAATTCTTATCTAATTAAACAACATAATATTCTCTATTTAGGGGTTTTCTATTTCTCTTTTCTCCCTTTTTAATGACTTTCACACTTCTCCGTACTCCTCATATAATATATTTCATCTTTTTTATTAATTTGATTTAAAAATAAATATTGTCATTTTCATGCCTAACAATTTTAAGTTAATTAGATCATAGGTTTTATTTCTTTTTTGGATGAAAAGATATCAGGGCAAAATTGTCAAATTTAACTTATTAAGCATTCAGTTATAAATGTTTATCAAACAGTATAAATAGGTTTAGCATTAAAATTCAGACATTTATATATTTTTTTTCAGTACTTAAAATTCAGCAAATTAATTGTTTCATTATTCAAATTTCAGAATTTAGACTTCAGAATTCAGATTCAGTTTTATGAAATGAAACCTTAGGGAGTGTAACCATCAACTTATGAGCAAGTTAAGGATAGGATTTACAAACAATTACATTAATAGTAATAGTTGGAGTCGGTCGAGGGTTGATACTGCATTGTTAACTAGTAGTTAAATTGATATACTAATCCCAATACTTTTAATGGAGTCAATAATTTTTCAGGCACCCAAATATAATTTAGTAAAATTCTCATATATGTATTTCCATGAAAAAGAAATTAGAACTTAGCATTTTCACTTATTTTATTAATTAGATGAATAATTATCACTGGTATTTCACAAAATGATATGTTTAATTTAGTCAAGTATTAAATCTCAGAGCATTTAATACCAAAATAAGTTATACAGTTACAAATCATCGAATAGTTAGTGACTTGATTATCAACCAAACAAAAGACTAATAATAAAAGGTAATTCAAATTCAACAAAGAAAGAAATATTCAAAATATATTTTGTAATACACTATCGGATTTATCTCTTTCATTTTGCACTCTTTTCTCTTAATTCATTTTTCTTCTATCTCCATAATCGGCTTTTTTCTTCCTTAAATAGATTAATTGTATTTGGTTATACCTTCTATATTATTCTCAATCTAAAAGGGTAATATTTTGTCTTTTTGTGTATGATAAGTCTTCATATCCTAATTTTTGGTTTTGCTTCACTTGTTTCTCATTGTGTAGTGGGTTTTGATTGACTTAAATTTTAAGTAAGCACCCCCTAATTTTGGACTTAATTTTCTAATCCCTTGGATAACCAGTAAGGTTCCTCGTTCCCCTCGGGCTAGCAAAGTACAGGCATTGTCATTTGTTAAACAAGCAAAAATCATAAGATTCATGCCCATATTTTTCACAAAAATTTTGAAAAAAATTAATTTATGGCCTTGGTGAAGGGTACAAGAATCCAAAGCTGAATTTATTATATTGCTGCGGTCCATCCCACAAAACTCCCCCTCTTTCCCCACGGCCCAATCCAACAAGTCCAACGAAAGATCCCTTATTTCATACCACTCCACATGATAAACTTCCGTTTCAAAATTCCTCGAAACTACAAGGGCCAAAAGGCAAATAAAAGAAGAATCTTCCTCCGCCGAACCACCTCCAGAATATTTCCCAAACAACCCCCCTCTACTCCCAACTTCCTTCTCTCTCATCTTTCTCGCCAGCTATGGCTTTTCCTCATCACCATTTCCAACAACACCACCACCACCTCCAGCAACCACCGCCCAAGCAGCAGCAATCTTTAAGGTAAAAATTTTCTGGGTCCCCTTAAATTCTCTTATATCTCTCTATCTCTCCGCAAATCCTCATTTCTTTTTATTTTTCAGGGACATTTACAGCAACATGGAAGCCGCCCAGATTTCACCGCCGGTGGCCTTCTTCAATGGGATGAATCTCCCTGATCAATCCAACCACCCTCCTTATGTCCCTCCTTGTAATTATCATCTCTCAACTATTAACCTTTGGATCACATTTTTAGAATAATCTGCAATTTTCTGACCAAAAAATTTGGTCTTTTTGTACTTTGTTTGTTTGTTGAGCCCAGTTCAAGTTGTGGGCTTAGCTCCGGCGACGGTGGAGGAGCAAGGAGGAGGGCTGGAATTGCAGTGGAATTACGGGTTCGAGCCGAAGAAAAAGAGGCCCAAAGAGCAGGATTTTCTTGATAATAATCACCATAATAACAACAATAATAATTCGCAGATGTCTTCTGTGGATTTCTTACAGGCTCGATCAGTGTCAACCGGGCTGGGCTTGTCTTTGGATAATACCAACAACAACAATACTAATAATAAAACCTGGTTGGCTTCTTCTGGTGACTCAGCTTTTCTAGGGATTGTTGGTGATGAACTTGATCTTGAGTTCCACAGGCAAGATGCTGAAATTGAAAGATTCTTAAAGATTCAGGTAACTTTAATCCTTTTCACGAGTATCTAAAGTTTATAATTTAGGAAAGCTGAGATTTTTATTGTTTATTTTACCTGGTTTGGCATTGTATTACTATGATTTCTGTTACTGTTTCAGTGCAAAGTTGTTTTTGCCCA